CTGGCGTGAGCCAATCAGGAGGGCCTCGGTCTGGTTCACATTCAACTGTAGGAGATTTGCCCTCATCCAGGACTTGATGTCCGACAGACAGTCTGTCAGGACAGCAGTGGTTCTGGAGTTGAGGGTGGGGCAGAAAGATAGAGTTGGGTGTCATCCGCAGACATGGAGTCAACTTCCATATGTATGCGGATGACACCCAACTCTATCTTTCTGCCCCCACCCTCAACTCCAGGACCAAGGACAGAGCCCTGGGGGACACCAGACGTGACAGTGCGGAGGAGAAATCATTAGAGGCAGCAAAGTGGAGATGGTGAGAGAGATAGGAATCGAACCAGGCAAGGGCAGGTCCGCGAAGATTAAGTAAAGAGGAGAGGCGGTGTATGAGGATAGAGTGGTCAAGGTGGACAAGGAGGCAGTGGGAGCCCTGATCACAGATGTTCAGAATGTCACAAGAATACCTTTTCATCCATCCAGAACACTCATGCTACCGTCCTCCCATCCCTGTTTGTCACAATAGTTAGACAGCTTTACGTTAAACTGCCAGGAGTGCTAATACTGTTATAATAATAATCCTTGCATTTGATATAGCGCTCTTCACGTCGGGAGGACGTCCCAAAGCGCTTCACAGAACACACTGTAAGTAAATTGACTGTATATTTGTGGGCGAAACGCGGCAGCCAATTGCGCACAGCAATGTCCCACAAACAGTCGTTGATTGAAAATGACCAATTTATTATTGTTTTGGTTTTGGAGGGATTATTATTAGGCTCTGTGTGGAGTAAGGAAACTTGCCCAAGGTTTCGCCCTCTGCCTGGAATTGAACTCAGGTCTCGCGCTTGCAAAGCGAGTGCTCTAAGCACTGAGCTACAGGACTCAAAGGCTTCAACTTCTAAATGCATTAATAGTCTTGCATCTTTAAGTTCACTTCTTGTGTTTTATATGCTTCCGCCATCTTTTCAATGTCGGGGTCAAATGCTTGTCTCCAAATTTTGCAAACCTTTATATTGCATTACATTTTCTAGCTCAATTCAAGAGCTGGACTAGTAACCCAATTTAAAAAAAATATTATTATCTAATCATGTTGTTGCATGGATTGTTGAGTCACAAATGAGCTCTGTTTATATCTGCCACACTGGCACATTTGTCTTACTTGTTTGTAAGCAGGCAGAGCTCTCATTCATTATATGCTGATCTGCCTCCAGAAACATAAATAGCATTCTCTTGCTTTCTCTGATGAAACTTTTTTTAATAAAAAATCTCTGTGTAGTGCAGTTTTAGAAATAATGATCATATCGATTAAACTGTGTTGCATTTTAAAACCTTATGGTGCTCCTCTTACTTCCCCACTGTCAGGTCATCCGTGAAGTCACTTAGAGGGTCACTTTTCGTCTGTCAATAAATTTAACATATGAATGTGATGGAATTATTCATGCAAGGAAGGTAAATGTTGGGTGTTTCATCAGTAAACATTTTATTGCTTACCTCTGCAAATGTCATATCGGTTACAGTACACACCATTAGAAATAACAATTTGAAGCACTTAGTTGATATTGGAGGCCAATTGCCCATTGGACAGAGTAGATTTTCTCTGCATTTGAGGCTTACTCAGGAAGGGGAAAAATTCTGTAAGTTTGTGTGAGAATATGGTGTCCTTGCTTATTCCAATTCAAAACTGACTTATGATAATTATGTTAGTGAAACAAGACTTGCTATTGAGTGCAAAATCCCTTAGAACGCAATCAACATGTACTTTATCAGTTGAGTTACAGTTCTCACAATGAAACCATCCATCATTTCACCTACAAAATAGACAGTCAGTCACTTTACAGTAGATCTTATGAAGTACTTTGAGATGTCTTGATGTGATAAGGCGTTGTTATCAAATGCAAGGATTATTATCAGCAAAAACTCTGTGATTTGGAGGTGAAATACCAGGCTATTAAAATGCTGTTAAAGTAAAGTTGATAACTAGATTGGTCAGGTTGAAGAGGTCCCTTTGGCCCCTCCAATCTCACAACACCCACCCTAGGGTTCCCTTATCATTGCATCAAGCTGTTTATTAAACAAGTCGTCTCCTGGCCTCTAGCACCTTTCCTTCCACCTGTTCCTATATCAAATGCAAGGATTATTGTTATGTTCCAGTCATCCTCTGTAAAGAAAAAAATTCTAGTATCTGTCCTGAAATTTCCCTTAATAACTCTAAACCTATGCCCTCTTGTTCTACTGTTTTGATGCATCCTTAATAATAATAATCCTTGCATTTGATATAGCACCTTATCCATCTTTGAGACATCTGAAAGCGTTTCACAGAATACACTGTGAAGTGAATTGACTGTATATTTTATGGGCTAAAGTATTAATCTGGATTTACTTCAATTCCAAAGTTTTAACATTTTGTACACCTATGAGGTCCTCTCTGACTTGTCTTCTCAAGACTGAAGAACCCCAGCTTGTCTAATCATTGCTCAAGCTTGTCTGATCGTTACACAGCTTGTCTAATCGTTGAATAATTAACTGTACCCATCTATCTACCATGTAATGTATCTCCAACTGCAGATTAAATGATTAAAAGTAATTAGCATGTGTGATACAACATGGAATTTGGTTAAAATAACTCAATTTGTCTTTGGAATTGTGATATTTGTGAGACCACTCTACTGCTGCACCTGCTGCAGAACATCCAGAAGTCTGAAACCCGTGGCCTCTCCCACACAACTCCATGAACCGATCGCCCACATCCCCTCTCAGCTCCGCTAGTTCCCCAACGACTAGGGGATCAAATCCAAGATCCTTGCCCTCTTGTTCAAATCCGTCCATGGCCTTGAGCCCCCGCCCCCACCGCCTGCGATCTCCTGTACTTTCCCGCCCCAGCTACTGCTCAGCGAACACCGTCCGACACGAAGGGCGCTAAATAAGTGGCTGTTGTTACTTTGTCTCCCTCCCACCCCGCTGAACCATAGGTGGACAAGCTTTCAGCCATTCTGTACATCCAGTCCTCTGGACCTCCATCGTCCACCTTGCTCCCTGTAGAATGTTAATATAAAATTATTGTAAAACATATAAAAATTATTGTAAATAAATACATGTTATAGATCTCGCCAAAAGTATTGTATAGTTCAGATTCTTGTGCTTAAGTGATGCAATCAGAAAAGTAAATATTAATATGACTATTTGTTAAAAACATCTGCACTTCAAACTCCTTGATGTTTGGAAGCCTTTTTTTATTAGTTGGATTTTCTTTGCGAATCGTGAATACATGTTGGAGATGGTGTTATTGGGCTTGATTTTGGATCAGTCACTTTAAAGGACGCCCCATAGCATTTGTCCAGATCGAGTGTGTGAGACGAAACAACATTGCAACAAGAACAACGAATTACACTTATACACTGCCTTTCATGTCGGGAGAACGCCCCATCAGGCTCGACAGTGGAGAGTTTGCATCCGAACCCGGGTTTGATGCAAAAGGGTGGGGGCCAAGGGGGTGTATGGGTAGAAATGTGACCGAAGACTTGGTTAAAGAGGAAAATCTTGAGATAGACCTTGAAGGAGGCAAGAGAAGGGGAGAGGCGAATGGAGTTCTGTGGAATGGGATGGAAAGGCTGAAGGCCTAACCACCGATGTGCGCAATTGGCTGCCGAGCTTTGCCCACAAAATGCACAATCCACTTTACCGTATGTCCAGTGAAACGCTTTGAGTCGTCTCAACAACAGGATAAAGCGCTATTTCAAATGCTACTATTGTTATTAAGTTTCAGGTGCAAAATCACGCATCACTGGCATGATTCTAGCGTGTTAGCCACTGCCTGAGAAACCACGCTAGTATAGAATAATACAATATACATTTTATAAAGCACCTTTCTGCTTGGAGGTGCATCGCAAAGCTCTCTGGTGAAAGTAGCGTCAAAAGAAGTACGCTTGGAGATGTGCCTTGAAAGAGAGGAGGGTTGGAGTCGCGGGGATTCTGGGATGGAATTCCAGGAAGATAGGGTGGGGATGTGAAGCAGGCAAAGGGAGTGGTTTGAGGAGGTTGCAAAGGTAGGATTGGGGACAGACTATGCAGGGTTTTCAATTTTTTATTTGAATATACTATCAAAATTGCAGTGATTCGCCACTAAACATCAATGAGAGCTGAGCCCTATTTCTCAAATCACAAGTTCCAAGACGACATTTTTTGGGATTCATTTTCCAATGACGAGGCCAGGAGAAATGAATGGGGAGACGGAGTGTAAAAACTGGTGCTCTGACTTGCTAAGAACTGGAGCGGCATATAAAGTAGACTGCAATTGCAACTCACTTGGAAATACAGTAGTTATAATGAACGTAGCTTGAAATTAAGGACAAATTGACAAAGAAGTCGTAGCTGATGCAGTTGAAACAATAAAGTTTCTATACCTTGTAAGCTGATTTTTCAAAAAAATCCTTTTGTCTTGTGAATTGAAGTGTAGTGCTGTTTACACTTGATCAGCCATACATTGGTCACTCCATTACAACAATTGTAACCGCACTATTCGTCACCCAATGCTGATTACGCTAGAATCATTCCAGCGCACCCTTAACTTTGAGCCCAGTTGGCTCGCCGGTACAGCACACACAGTAACATTTTGAGGTCAGATCTAATCCATTAGTGGTAATGAACAAAGCTCAAAACCAGCAAAAGTCCTAGTTGTACCTCTGTAATCCTGACTGTATTATTTTGTGTATACATCATATTGTGAATGTAAATCGCTAAAAGCCTGGATGAAAGCACTGTGCATTTTGCACTGGGTTGTCTTTGTACAGTATGAATGGGAGTTGACAGCTTTAATGCCTCACCAGGTTCAAAGCCTGGTTTCTGACTTTCTATTCCTAATTTTCTAATGTGATCTTCTGACATTGTTCTCCAATTGTTCTGTGGTAATTTTTTAATTTTTTTAACCGAAATGCAAAAATGGGTGGTAGTTTTGTTGCTACGTAAGATTTATTTTATAAACGTTTTCCATCCCTTCTCTTTTATCTTATCAGCATGTTTGGAGCGAAAGTGAGGATTGCCTACCTTTCCTACAGTTGGTCCAGGAATATATCTTATCTTGTGGGAAGAAGACACTCTCTGAAATCCTGGAAAAGGTTTTCAAATCATTCAAACCTGTAAGTGCCATATTAATACAAAATGATGTTCTATAGGATTAACTAATTGAGCAGGATATTCCCCTTTAGGGTCAGACCTTTCTATACAAAACTAGTATAGTCAAGATTTTCAGATCTATACATGTCTTGACTTTTTTAAAATAGTGATTTAATGATGGAGGGAAGGATTTGCAGTCAATCCTAGTAACATCAGTAAAACCTTTTATGTTAATATTATTACATTATTAACTGTCATTCTGACTTCTGGGATTGTACAGTTATTTTCTATCTGACTGACCAGTCAGTGAGCGACTAAAGGGCATTGATTTAAATCAATTAGTGAGAGAGAAAGGGGGGAGATTAGATTTTGTTTTACCCAGAGTTGTTAGAAAGTTGAATGCCCTGCTGGGTGCAGTGGTTGACGCAGTGTTTGAAAGGGAACTAGATAGATATAATTTGTAAAGTTACAGGGAAAAGATGGGCAAATGGAATTGAATGGTTTGCAGCAGTCAATTTGTGCACAGCAATGTTCTACAAATGACCGTGAATGATCAATTTTATCTGGAGGATTGTTGGCCAGGACATTGGGAGAATCTCCTTTCTCTTTTTGAATATGGTATGGGAACTTTAAAGACCATCTAACCAGGCTGTCAGAATCTTGGTTTAATGGCTCATCTGAAAGACGACAACAGTACAGCATACACCAGCACAGCAGTGGAGTGTCAGCCTGGACTATGAGCTCAAAGTCCAGATATAATCATTCCATTAAAATGTACAATAAAATATGCAGCTTCATAGATTTGTGACATTTGAAGTCTTCCTACTGTCATGTTTTAAATTACTTATAAGGAATTGTTGATTGCTTCCTGAAAATTTGGCAAACAATTTGATGGGAACTAGAGTTTTTGCCTGGCTCAAGTGACAAACCAGAAATGCTCATCTCTAGAGATATGTGTGTGCAAAGAAATTAGTTGCAGTTTAATTTTCAGCTTTGTTCATCCATTTTTCCATGTGTGGTCTGATGGCTGTTTGTTTTGCACAGTTATTGGGGCTTCCTGATGTAGATGATGATGCATTTGAAGACTATAATGCGGATGTTGAAGAGGAGGAACCTGAAGCAGACAACCAACCAATGAGCGTCAGTCAACAGTAAATGTGTGAAGAGGGAACAGTCAGCCTGTGTGCAGTTTAACCTTTTTATTCATTCATAAGCTATATTATTTTTTTCTCCCCTCCCACTATATACACATACCCATATTATATTATATTAAATAACTCGCACACACAAACCTGAATAGCCTTTATTAACATCAGGTTAAATATCGATGCTAAATCGTATCTAGTCTGGCCTTTGCAGTCATTCCTGTTCACAATTTTGGCATAACTACAAACTGTTTTGCATAGATTAAAGTACTAAACAGCAGAAAGACAATGATTTGAACTCTGAACTGACTAGTATTGATATTTCAGGTTGCTTAATTTCAGGTTTGGGTATAATCATTTAGGCAGGCTTTTTAAAAAGAAACAAAATCTGATTAGTTTTTAATTCATGTCTCAGTTAATATGATTTTAAGTTTTATAACCAGGCAATACACAATTCTATAACGAAAATGGTCCCAAATTACTGGAAAATTCCTGAGAAAATTTTAAGAATAATATATTGATGTTCATACTTTTTAAAATCTATATATTTTAAAGGAACATTAAGCATGTGTCTTGTGAAGCAATATTCTTTAAGCATTGTCTGTAGGTATTCCGCTTTAGTCGCCCAACACTGAAATTGGTCTTAAGCAGCTAGTCATGATCAGTCCAGATAGTAATTGTTTATTACAAGTTTCACTTTAGCTGATTTTACAGTGATTAAATGCCAGGATTATTATTATTAGTGCATTTCAAAAAACATTGAAGATATTATTTAAATAAACACTGACATAAATCTAATGTGTGCTTACAGTAACTTGTTGCACTGTAAAATAAAAGTGGTGTTCTGTAGAAGCTTAAGGGCATTAAATACTCCTGCAATTTGCTATTGCTCTAAGTACTGCAGGAACTGTGTAATGCATTAATTATTGCTTGGCTTTCAATGCACTGCAGCCTATTTGGTACTTTACCGATTTTTTTCCTATGCATCTTAGACAAGACATTTACAGTTATAACATTCCCAGTTGTAGATCAAACAGCAGCACATATTGTTTAGCTCTTTGTGTTAATGTTTGATAACAGAAGGAACTGTAAACTTGTATTTAATGGAAACTTTAGCAATGTTTTAAAAAAAATGATACATTGCTCATTGAAGAATTAATCATTACCTTGGTATGTTTTAAGTGGTAAATTGTACTGTATTTTTGTATACTGTAAAACAGGATGTCTTGAGTATAGTTGGTAAAATTCCTGAGGTCGGACTAAATGATACGAGACCATGTTTGGAATGTTAAAGGTTTACAGCCACGAGGAAGAATCCCTTAGCACACACTTGAAGGGAATGTACCTTATTGGTTTAGGTAAGTAATGTGACAGGCACAGCTGTAAAAACTTTGAAGTGCTTCAGTATAAAAATTCTGTTCTATAGTATATGCACAGTACAGATATTCAAAAGGGAAATCTTGGACTTTGCGTTGTGTGATGAGTACCAAGTGTTCAATATGTTCAATGACGTTTGTTGAGCATCCTCTGTAACAGTGTCTTATCATTTGAGAGAAAAATGAAATTCACCATAACAGCTGTTGGATTATTCTCTTTTAAATGCATGGTTTGGTGATGCAGGAGGTGCTATTTTAATTTTTGGTATTTTTTCCAAGTGGATGTGTCTTGGTCTGTTACAAAACTGCAGCACTTCATTTATAGATACCTCAATTCTTTTGTTGACCTAACGCTGTGTGGATTTGAAAATGGCTTAAAAACAAACGACACACGTTTCTGCTATACAAATTAGCCTCACTGTACAGTGGTTAACATATACTTAGTTTAAGATAATGGCATGACCAAAATAAACTATTGGTTATCCATTGGATTTTTTTTTAAAAAAGCATTATTGTTAAAGGATTTGGACTGAATTTTTCTCAAACAAGGAAACCTGTTGTTTTGTTTTTAATGGTTGTGAAAGATGACGTGGATAGGTTAACAAAAGAATGCTATCCTTTAACATAATTTTCAACACTAAATAACATGCTGAAAATAAATTATTCGAACATTGCATTGTGAATATCTGTTTAATTGTGAAGATGTTTGAATGAGAGAAGGGCTAACGGCCTCACTCACTATCTTGAAACTGTTCCATTTTGCAGCACATTGACGGTCTCTGAATATAGTATAGAAACACTGTGATAACTCCATCCTGGAAAACTTTTATGGCTATCATTAACTCTGGTCAAGTAGTTGACCATTTAAACGCATGTCTTTGAAGAACATCACCATGGCATGACATGTTATGTTCATGCATTTCTTTACAGCACTTAAAAAAAAAACAAAATACATTTATATAGTGCTTTTCACGTAGGGAAGACATCCCAAGGTGCTGGACAGTCAAGGGTTTGCACCTGAGGTGGCGGTTGGATTTGGGAGGGGTGGAGGCCAAGTGGGGTTTGGAGGATGACCGAAGGCACGATCAAAGACTAAGGTCTTGAAGGTCCTGACCTTGAAAAAGGTAATGGAAGAGTCGAGGCAAAGGGACTCGTGAATGGAGTTCCAAAATGGGGGCAGAAAAGCTGAAAGTCCGACCGCCGATGGTGAGATGGGCAGAGCGAGAGGACATGAAGCAGGCCAGTGCCTACCAAGCAGAGGGAGCTACCAGGTTAGTCAGTTTTAGAAGGTTGTAGACGTAGGGTGGGGCAAGACTGGAGGGATTTAAAAGTGAGGAGAAGGACTTTAAACTTGATCCTCTGAGGAATGGGGAACCAGTGAAGTCAGGCAAGGATGGGGTTGATAGGTTTGTGGAGCCTAGTGCAGAAGAGGACATGAGCTATAGAGATCTGAATGGTCCAGTTTCTGGAGGGAAGAGTTGGGAAATCTGGCGAGCAGAGAGTTGCTGTAGAGCACAGATGTGGGTCTTAAAGGGCATGAAAATGAAGGTGGAGGCAGAGTGATAGAGTTAAGTGCAATCTACATGAATGTGCAAGTTAACCCCATGCCTGCGGGTGTCAGTGCCGAGTGGGAGCACGTAGATATTAAAGCGGAGAGGACTGAGGACCGAGCCCTAATGAACACTGTATGTGGGAGCGGGAGGAGAAGCCATTGGCAGATATAAAGTGGAGGAGTTGGGATAGGTAAGGATAAAACCAGGCGCGGACAGAACTGTGAAGCTAGAGCTGAGAGGAAAGGCAGGGGAGAAGAATAGAATGGGCAACAATGTTGAAGCGGCAGAGAGGTTGAAGGATGAGGTGGCAGAGAGCACTGGTCACAGATGGAGAGAATAGCATTTGTGACATTGGCCAGGGCAGTCTTTGCACTGTGGGCAATCCGGAAGCCAGATAGGAGGGGTTCGTACAGGGAAAGGAAAGAGCAAAGCTGGGAAGCAATGACTCAGTCCAGAACCCTGGAGAGGAAAGGCAGTTTGCAGATGGGATGGTAGATAGGTCGAGTGAACACTTTGAGGAGGAGGGTGGTGTTGAAGGGGATGAGAACGGCCGATAGAGTGATTGACGATGTCTGTAATCAGAGGGACAAGGATCTGGGAAGTCAGGAGAATGAGGTCCATAGACCACATGGTGGGCTTCGTTTAAGAGAAAAAGTTGAGAAATTATGCACCAGTGTATTTAACATCCATTTGAGGGAAATATTGCACACTATTAAAAAATGGAGGGTCCAAATATGAACAAGCCAGTTTTTTATTAATCTAATATAACTGCCATCTTTCTCACAAGCTCCATACAGTTACGTTAAAGCTCATCTCCTGGTCCACGGTTAAGTATGGGTTCCTAATTGATTCTCCACAAAATGTTTCTGAACAACCTTCCTACCTAGAGAAGGTACCACGGAGACGTTGCATGCTTTGCCCACAGCAAAGGAAGGCAGAGTCGGATTGGGTGATGATCGTGCTAATCCTTGGAGAGATTTGCAGAATGGCCGGAGAACACGGAGAAAATTGCCTGCTTACTGCTCAACCAGGGATCAGGTGTGCACATTCAAGAAATAATAATAATAATTCTTGCGTTTGATATAGTGCCTTATCACATCTTCGAGAGTCTTAAAGCGCTTCACAGAATATACTGTAAAGTGCATTCACTGTATTTTGTGGGCGAAACACGACAGCCAATTTCACACAGCAGTGTCCCACAAACAGTCGTGGATTGAGTGATCAATTTTTTTTGAAGGAATTATTACCACCGGAAAAGCGATCTGCCAATCGACTAAATAACCAGGTTCCTATTTACTGCTAGTTAAACAGAGGCGTGTGGAGTAAGGAAACTTGCCCAACATTTCGCCCTCCCGTGGTGCAAATGGACTTCTCAAAACTAGCAATCACAAATCATGTATCAGTTTAGAGTACTTGCTAGATGTACAATTGTTGCAATATGTGAAGGCGAACTGCCTATGATTGTGCAATATCCAATTGCGACCATGTTATAATAATAATCTTTACTTTCGATACAACGCCTTTGAAGGAAAGTATTGAAGAAGCTATCTGGCGAGTTTCCCACTGCTGGTCTAACTCGGACTACGTTTGTCTATAATAATAATCCTTACATTTGATATAGCAACTTTCACATCAGGATAATGTCTCAAAACTCTTCACAGGGTATAACTAGAGTGGAGAAACTGATTATTTTGAAAGCTTTTTTTATCTTGGAGGCAAATGCAGCAAAGAAGTTGCGCACAGCAGAGTCCCACAAGCTGCCGTGAAGTGAATGAATTTTATTTGGGGGGATTGTCAGCCAGGACGCTGCAAGAAACTCCTTTCTCTTTTCAAATTAATGTCATGGGATATTTAACGTCTCATCTGAAATACAACACTTTCAGCATTGTAGCACACACCCAGCAACCAGCGGAGTGTCAGCATAGAATTTGAGTTTTAAATCCCCATGTGAGGCTTGAACCCACATCCTTCCAATTCAGAGGTGACAGTGCTGCCAACCCAGCCAAGCTCAGTGACGGGCAAGTAAGTGATTGTGTATTTGTAGGTGAACCCAGCATTGAAATCACATCATACCCACATAGGGTGTAGCAGTAACTCCACTGTGGGCATTTGTGCTGTGGGCAACAGCTACAACTTGCATTTATATAGCGCCCTTCACGCGGGGTAGGGACACGGAGTAGTGCGGAAACTGGATTGGGGAAGTTTGCTCAGGGAGAGAAAAGAGCAACAATGAGAAGTCATGATTCATTCCAGAAACTTGGAGAGGAAAAGCGAGTTGGAGATGGGATGGTAGATGGGGAACAGGGAAGGATTTTTGAGGAGGGGGTGGTGACAACTGCATTGAAGGGGATAGGAACAGATTTGAATGGTAAGCGGCACTAGGATGTGTCAGAAGATCACATTTCCTCTCATGTTCGCTTCTTTCGAGTTTCCTTTCAGCAAGAATCGTTGCAAAGCTTGAACTACAGATGAAGTAAGTACTGTACCATAATGATTGCAACAACATAACCGCACAATACAGTACAGCACACTTTGGCACTGACTTTGCCTCATTCTCCCCGGGGAGGAAGAATGATTTTGAAATATCTATATATTTATGATACATTCTGACACCAATTGAAGAAATGGACATTCTCAGCTTACAATTTCAAGTGTCCCTCTGTAAACATCCCCTCCTGTGGACAGTGCCCAGGTTCACAGGGACATTGCCTTAGGAAGAAAGCAGAGATACATCACTTCAGCTCACATCCTTTTATGTTGGATGTTGAATTATGACCTGTCTGAGATATTAAAAACTCTATACCTTCCTATACAAAATATGTGTTTGGTATACTTTATTATTATTTATTATTATTATTTGGCATATCTTATTGTTAGAGAGCACTGGGTGAGAAACATAGGAAGAGGTCATTCTTTTTCTACCAGTTATTTGAAGTGCTGCTGACTTTTATTTCTTCAAGTGCATTTATGCTGTATATTGTAACTACAATTAAAAAGATGGACCATTTTCGCTGCATTCATTTAATTGTCTGCAAACTGCATGCTCCCAGGCATATGTATTACTCCCATTTTTCTGTTAGTGAAGTCCAGCAAGAACAAATTTCTCCACATGAGGGCTCCAAAGTATCTTTTTGAAAGGAGATCCCACATGCTCACATGCTGTAGGGAAAGGGAGGTGAGGGACCAGTTATTTGCTGTCCACAGCACTTGATTTTCTTTTGGGATAATGTGAACCAATCTCTGCCTGATGCCTGCCCACAGCTGTCAATAAGTGTTAGCATGATATTTATAATCAGATTCCAAACCCATTCAAACAACAGAGCTCTTGTTTATTTTCTAGAGAGCCATACATCAAAATAGATTCTATTACCAGACCAAAATGAGTGAGTGATTGTCTCAATCCTAATGAGTAATACTTGGCAGGGATGCTGTTGTTTTTAAATCTTTCTGTGCCAACTTTCAGCTCTTGTGGACATCTCTTGGTTGTCAGGCTGTCTCCTTTCATCCCTGGAACATCAAGGTTTGCTCGAGACTACATTAAGAAACCTCTCCTGACCACCTTCCTGTAGTTCCCTCCTTCAGAAACTCCAGCTCATACCGAACTCATGAGCCATGCTCTCTTCCACACCAGGCTCACACTCATTGTGCACCCATTGCCCTCATCTTTGCCAAGCTCCATTCACTCCCAATTCGCCAACACATCAACTTCAGAATTCTTGTCCTGACTTTCAAATCATAACAAACACCTTTAAAAATAAATGACCTTGGACATGAGCGCTGATGTAATGCAAATTGAGTACTTTAAAATTTAAGATAAACATTTCACCTTCATGGGCTATTTAACAGAGATGAGAAGGAGACATTCCTTGCTTCCTTGCCAGGTCCAGGTGTTGCCAGTGCAGGAGTCTCTCTAGCCCTTTCCTAGCATTAGAAAATAATACAAGCATGTTGCCTGCCTATTTGCTCTTGATGAAGTGGTAATGATGCATGTGCCAACAGGGTAAATTTTTAATTTATTAAAGCTATTTGCTCCATGAAGGTGAAATGTTTATCTTAAATTTTAAAGTACTCAATTTGCATTACATCAGTGCTTATGTCCAAGATCATTTATTTTTAAAGGT